ATATATAAATAAAATAAATATATAAATATATAAAAATATATATATATATATAAAAATATAAAATTTTAATTAAATTTTTTTTTAAACACACTGGGGGGGGTTTCCCCCCAAGGCAGGGGGGCCCGAAAAAAAAAAACTTTCAACCCTCATTCACCTCCATCACTGTCTTGCCAGAAGGGTACTTTAAAACTACAGGTTTTTTAAAAAGCCCAAAATTAAAACCCCCCCCTTTAGAAGGGAGGGACTGTAAATTCCCCTTCCGGACTCAAAACCGGGCCCGCCGGTTTCCCCCGAATTCCCCTTTATAATTTAAATTTTGCCACACCCAACGCAAATTTAATAATTTTAAAAAACCCTTTGTTTTCCATTCCTCCTATCAAACACGCTCACCATGCCTGCTGGAATTTCCAAACCCCTCGCACACAAAACCTCCTTTAAAAACCCCCCCCCCAACCCTTTTTTCCCAGGCCGACCCCTACCCCCCCTTTTCCCTTTCCCCAAAAGACTGATACACTCTTTAATTATTCTGTTTTGCCCTTAAAAAAAAAATTTTCCCCTTTTACATGCCCCAAACCCCCTCAAAAAACCCTTCCTCAGCCTCTGGGCCCAAAAGTTTTTGGTTTAAACCCGCACCTCCTCCTAACTTCCAAACTACGAAATTTTTTCTGCATTATATTCACACCACACATTTCCCTCAACATGACATCTCCCCCTGCCTCCAGCCTTCCTCCCCCGCTGCAACATTCACACCCATGCTTTACAAACCCCTATAAGAGCTTGGTAAAACTAAACTCTCATCATTCCCCCCCTTTGCCTCCAAGGACAAAGTTCTCTGGCTCCACAGACCCTTAGTGCACCACTCACTCTTTTTCCCTCATCAATTCAAGATTCACCTCATCTTTCATAGACCCTTTCCCCTACAACGGCCCCTCCCAAAAATCTGAATCCCTTCACCTCCTCCCTACCTCTCCCTCCAAAACTGAAAATTCAATCTTTTATTTACCTAATCTTTTTTTATCCTCATAACCTTTCTTTTTTCCTGTATTCCCTTTTAATTTTTTTCTTTGCCCACCCACCAAATTCCTCCACCAATCCCCTCAGCTTCTCTTTAAAAATCTCCCAAGACACATTTTCATCACAAAAAGCACTGTGACAACTCCCACCCTGTGGGTGATTTTTATCTTTTAAATCCCCCGCCTCTTTCCAAAACCCGCGATTTTCTTCCCTTTCAAAACCCCCTATAAATATATTAAACAACCACGGGGACCAAACACACATCCTTGTCCCAAGGCCCCACAATTTTCTGGGAAAAAAATTTTCCCTTTTTTTCTACATACTCTAACTTGAGCCTCACTATCCCCCGAAAAAAATCTTTTAAATGCTTTCATAACCACCTCCAAAACCATACAATTTCAACATCGCCCCAATTTCCCCCCTATCCCCCCCTGTCATCGCCTTTTTCCCCAAAACCAAAACCACAAAACCTCTTTAGCCTTATTAAATACTGTTTAATTTATATTTTCCCCAAATGTAAACACCTGGTCCACACAAACCCCCACCTTTCCTAAAGCCCCCCTTTTTTTCATCTGCTAATCCTATTCTCCGTCTTTCTCTTAATTCTTTCAATTTTTAACTCTACCATACACTTTCCAGGGAACTCAACAGCTTATCCCCCTATAATTTTTGCCCCTCTCTTTTTTCCCCTTTTCCTTTATTTCAAAGGAACTAAAGCATGCATATATATATATTAAATATATTTTACGTATATAAAAATAATATAAAATTTAAAATATATATATTAATATATTTTACAGTATTAAAATTTAAACAGGGCCCCCCTTTAAAAGGGGGTTTCCCCTTTACGGCGTTACACTTTTTGGCTTCCGCTAATACTTTAAATTTTAAAAAATTTTTTAAAAAAAAAAAAAAATTCGAAAAAAAAAAAACGGCTCCCCCCCCCTTTACTTTCCCAATACGGCACCGCGCCCCACCCTTTTTTTTTTCTTTCGTGAGCCAGTAAAACACTAAGTCTCCCATTTTGGGCTGGGAAAAATCCAAAATTTTAAATTTCATAAATTTTTTAAAATATTTTTAAATATATACTTTGATAATTTTACTTTTTAAAACCTGAACTTAAATAAACCCTTTCATACTGTGCTGGCAAAGCAGGAAAACATTAAAATCAGTAAAGTGTCTTAAGTCTCCAGACTTTATATTAATTTTTAATTTAAACCCGAGTCTCATTTTAAAAGTCGTATATTACTTTAAAAACACATTTTTATTAATCCATCTAAATTTTTTTCAAAAAATTTTAAAAATAAACACGATACATAACATAAAATGATGATAAAATCACCCCCCAAAAGAATAAAAAAACATAAAAAGGGGAAAAGTTTGGGAGCAAAACAAATTGCAAAAAGGATGCATAATTTTGAAAAGATAATTTAAAAATAATAAAAATCACCGATCCCATTAAATGTTGTAAATTTCGTTAATAAAATAATTACACATTTTCATTAATCCATTTCCAAAGAAATTTTTTTTTAAAATTATATAATAAACCCGAAACAAACAAAAAAGATGATAAAAAACACCCCAAAAATAGAATAAAAAAACATAAATATGAGAATTTGGGAGCCAGAAAACTTGTTTCAAGTGATTACAAAAAAATAACATTTTTCCCATAACTAACATAAAGAAAAAATGTTTTAAAGGGGGAAAATAAAGAAAATTTTTCCTTTCGTATTTATGTATGTTTATTCAGGTATACACAAATACAGTTACATAGATTATCATACATAACAACATATGTGTAGAGAACCTAGGATAACCCAAAAAAGTCAGAGTGACTTATTTCCATTGCCTTCACTCAGAGCATCATTTCTTCTCAAAATGTTACATGAGAATGGGAGTGTTCTTCTTTATTTATTCTACCATATCAATGTAGAGACAACCTGTACACAATGTAACTTGTACACAAACCAGACGTGTACACTTTGTTTACAAAACTTACCTTCGCCTGGTTTGTTTACATAACTCTGCGCCTGTACTCTCTCATGCACTCATTCTTTCTCTCTCATTTATTCGTTTTATCTCATTTACTTACTCCTGACCCTACATTAAGACTACAAATATTTTAAGGTAAGTAATGAGTGAACTGTATATACATTTTATCGCTCTGGGAGGCTTAACCCTTTGACTGTCGCGGCCGTATATATACGTTTGCGAGGTACCGTGTTTGACGTATATATACTCATAAATTCTAGCGGCTTCAAATCAGGCAGGAGAAAGCTAGTAGGCCCACATGTGAGAGAATGGGTCTGTGTGGTCAGTGTGCACCACATAAAAAAAATCCTGGAGCACGCAGTGCATAATGAGAAAAAAAAAACTCCGACCGTTTTTTTTAATTAAAATGCCGACTTTGTGGTCTATTTTCGTATAGTATTTGTGGTTGTATTCTCGTTTTCTTGGTCTCATTTGATAGAATGGAAACTATATTATAGAAATGGAGGTGATTTTGATTAATTTTACTATAAAAAGAACCTGGAAATGGAGCACAAAGTACAGGAAATGTTTGATTTTTGCCGATGTTCAAAAGTGAACAAATGATGTCATTGTCCAATAAATGTCCAAATAGCCATTCTAATACGCAGTCATGAATGGGTTGATGTAATTTTTACAATTATTACAGTATTGCAGTAGTCTGCATAACAGTAAATCTTCTATTTTTTGTTTGAATAAAATTTCAAAATAAAAAGCAAGAGTAATATCACAGGGACCTGGAGACATGACTGATGAACAAAGAAAATGTTATTTTAGAGCCAGGAATGTCTGCATTGTTCATTCTGGACCTTATTTTGAAATTGTCGTATTTTTTAATTTTCGTGAAATTGGCCAAATTGCAAATTTCTGACCATGTTATTGGGTAGTTGAAATCGGTAAATGGGCAGTTTCTTGTACTCAATCGATAGAAAAAATAGAGTTCTGAAGAAATAGTTATGAGTTTGGTTGACTGGAATAACGGAATTAGCCGAAAATAGGGCTCAAAGTGGGCGAAATTGCCGATTTTTAAATATCGCCGAAGTCGCTAACTTCGCGAGAGCATAATTCCGTCAGTTTTCCATCAAATTTCGTTTTTTTGGTGTCTTTACAATCGGGAAAAGATTCTCTATCATTTCATAAGAAAAAATAATTTTTTTTTTTTTCGAATATTTTGCGACACCAGAAGCAACTTCAGGATTTGGCCCTTCGACAGTCAAAGGGTTAAATATCATGGAATATATGTGTGGGTGGGTTGGCCTGGTATGGTAGCCTGGCTGACTACCATACATACCACACTTGATTTTTTACAATAAATACTATTTGTCTCACCCTAGATTAAGACTATAAATATTTTAAGGTAAGTAATGAGTGCACTATGTGTGTATTGTACTTTTTTATTGTTTTTTGATGCCTGGTTCTATTGCTAACTTAATATATGTTAGTGTAAACTTATTATCTAGTGTTTGTATGCATTTGTAAGTGGAAAAAAAGGGTGTTCCACTTTACGGCGGTTTCCGCTTTATGGCGGTAGCCTGGAACCTAACCAGCCATATAAGTGGGGCCCTACTGTATATACATATGCTTGTACATGTATGTGTAGTGTGACCTAAGTCTAAGTAGAAGTAGCAAGATGTACCTGAAATCTTGCATGTTTATGACACCGAAAAAAGACACCATTAATCCTACCATCATGTAAAACAAATACAGGTTTCCGTTTTACTCTCACTGCCAAGTAATGGCATTATTCTCAACTCGTTCTCAAATTTTTTTTCCGGTATTTAATTTTAATGAAAAACTAGAGTCCATTGGGAACATTGTAGCTGTTGCAGTACTGTACATTATCTTGCCATGCTGAGGTATCAGGCCTGGTTCTTGCATCATAAATATATCATAAATAAAATTTTCAATTCAGTTATTCATATGAAATTAACCTGATAACTTTTTCCATTTAATTCCAGGACTATCTGATAAGCTACCTCCTACCCCAGATACCAGCCCTTCCAAATTTCCAACAGTAGGACATGTAATAGGAAAAGTTTTACCTTCACTTGTGGAAGGAGTTAGAGATGACACTATAAGCCAAGATTCAGGAGTGGGGAGTTCAAATCATCCAAATGAATTCTCTCCACAACCTCCATTGGATGATCATTCATTTGGGGATTTTTCAAGTTCTGTTCCTGATGTTTCAAAGGTGAGTGTTGAACCAAGAAATGAAGCAGGAAACTTGAAAAGCGAAGACGACGACTTTACTAATTTTCAAGCATTTAGTTCTGTTTCCAACATACCACCGAGAGTTAAGGACTCAGAATGTGCAACTATCTCCTCAGATAATGGAAGTGGTGAACATGATCATGTCAACAACTCTAGTCAAATCTTCTCTGCAGTGCCTGAGTGCTATGAGGGTAGTGGCAGAAGATCTAGGAATAGTTTTTCTATGATAGGCACTCCCCCACCTCTTGATTATGTGGCAAATAGTGAGACTCTTGATGATGAATTCTCTAGGTTTTCTCCAAATCTTCCTACTGATAATGATGATTTTGGGGATTTTAAATATAATGAGATGCCAGATATTACCAATGGAGAATTGCCTTTTGCAGAGAAAGTAAATTGCAATAAAAGTTCACCAGTACTTCATAAAAAAGAAAGGTTTACCTTACAAGATTCTGTGAAAAATAAGGAAAGTGCCCCATTAAACATTAAAGAAAGTGTGTCAGCTAATGTAAGTATCATTAAAAATATTACAAATCAGATGAATAATATAGATGAAAACAGTGGTTATTCGAAAACTGAGACAGCGAATGTCATCAATAAAAGTGTTCCTCCTGACTGTATAAGCATAGGTAATGAATTTAGTACCCAGGTTTCTAGAACTTTGGATAAAAATTTGAATATGGGATATGAAACTCAAAGTACTGTGACTACCAATCGGAAAGATGGCATTAGCAGTGTATTTTCCTCTGAAAATGTAGTAGAAAAAGTAAAGAATGAGGTTATGGATGCTGGTAGTGTAGAAGAGCATCATTGTATAAAAGCTTCTTGCTCATGTGATAGTGCAGAGAGCCATTGGAAAAATGAAATAGAAGAGCAATTAGATATAAGCAAAGTAAGTGTTGAAAGTTGGACAGACTATGAAAGAGGAGATAAAAAAAATGATTCTGGAGTGGATGCCAATTCAATTTCTAATAAAAGTGCCTGTAATCATGAGGATTATGAATTTAGTGAGGTGAGAACAGAAAAGGGAGAACATGATGGAATTCAGTGCTACAAATCATACACATTGAGGGATAGTGTGGTTTTAAGGGAACATTCTCCAAGTGATATTGAACATTTTGATAAAGCTGATAGTCAAAGTGAATCAGATTTTGGGGACTTCAGTAAAGCAAATGATGAGGATGATGACCTTGATTTTGCTGATCTAAGGGAACAAGTGGAGAATGGCACATTTGGAACAGAGGAAGCTGTACATTTAGCTGATGAAGTTGGCAAATTTTCTGATACTCATATAAACAGTGAAAATGAAGATGAATTTGGTGATTTTAATTCTTCAGCATTTATTGACAGTGAATTTGGAGATTTTGGTAGTGCAAATGTTGGTGATGAGTTCGGAGATTTTGCTGTGCATGAAGCATGTGGTTCATACACTAATCATGATCTCAAGGGTGAATTTGGTGACTTTGATGATCCTGAGGGTACAAGAGACTTTGGGAATTTTACCAAAGCTGCTGGATCAAAAGAGAGGGGCACAGGAGATTTCAGCCCTTCATGGAAGGAGAGCAACTTTGCAACTCCCTGCACAAGTAGCCCTGTTTTAAAAAAGGTTTGGAAAACTCATACTTTTTTTCTAATTTTTAATGTAGGTTTATAGATACACTATTTTCCTTAATATTTGAAAAACATTTTAAAAAATATTCCTTTTCAATTGATGGTTCCTTTAACCCTTTCAGAGCCGGTACCATACTTGTACGGCTTGAGAGCCGGGGTCAGAGCCGTACTTGTATGCGTAAATTCTAGCGCCTTCAAATTGAGCGGAAGAAAGCTGGTAGGCCTACATATGATAGAATGGGTCTGTGTGGTCAGTGTGTGCAGTATAAAAAAAAAATCCCAAAGCTTGCAGTGCGTAACGAGAAAAAAACTCCAACCATGTTTTTAAGAACATAAGAACATAAGAATTGATGAGGGAAAAAAGGTGAGTGGTGCGTTGAGGTATATGTGGAGTCAAAAAACGTTATCTATGGAGGCAAAGAAGGGAATGTATGAAAGTATAGTAGTACCAACACTCTTATATGGGTGTGAAGCTTGGGTGGTAAATGCAGCAGCGAGGAGACGGTTGGAGGCAGTGGAGATGTCCTGTTTAAGGGCAATGTGTGGTGTAAATATTATGCAGAAAATTCGGAGTGTGGAAATTAGGAGAAGGTGTGGAGTTAATAAAAGTATTAGTCAGAGGGCAGAAGAGGGGTTGTTGAGGTGGTTTGGTCATTTAGAGAGAATGGATCAAAGTAGAATGACATGGAAAGCTATAAACTATAGGGAAGGAAGGCGGGGTTTGGGGTCCGTCCTCGAAAGGGTTGGAGAGAGGGTAAAGGAGTTTTGTGGGGCAAGGGGCTTGGGCTTCCAGCAAGCGTGCGTGAGCGTGTTAGATAGGGGTGGATGGAGACGAATGGTACTTGGGACCTGACGATCTGTTGGAGTGTGAGCAGGGTAATATTTAGTGAAGGGATTCAGGGAAACCGGTTATTTTCATATAGTCGGACTTGAGTCCTGGAAATGGGAAGTACAGTGCCTGCACTTTAAAGGAGGGGTTTGGGATATTGGCAGTTTGGAGGGATATGTTGTGTATCTTTATATGTGTATGCTTCTAGACTGTTGTATTCTGAGCACCTCTGCAAAAACAGTGATAATGTGCGAGTGTGGTGAAAGTGTTGAATGATGATGAAAGTATTTTCTTTTTGGGGATTTTCTTAATTTTTTTTTTTTTTTGGTCACCCTGCCTCGGTGGGAGACGGCCGACTTGTTGGAAAAAAAAAAAAAAAAAAAAAAAGAACATAAGAAAGGAGGAACACTGCAGGAGGCCTGGCCCATACTAGGCAGGTTCTTTACAATTCATCCCACTAACAAAACATTTGCCCAACCCAATTTTCAATGCCACCCAAGAAATAAGCTCTGATGTGAAAGTCCCACTCAAATCCAACCCCTCCCACTCATGTACTTATCCAACCTAAATTTGAAACTACCCAAAGTCCCAGCCTCAATAACCCAACTAGGTAGACTGTTCCACTCATCAACTACCCTATTTCCAAACCAATACTTTACTATGTCCTTTCTAAATCTAAACTTATCTAATTTAAATCCATTACTGCGGGTTCTCTCTTGGAGAGACATCCTCAAGACCTTATTAATATCCCCTTTATTAATACCTATCTTCCACTTATACACTTCGATCAGGTCTCCCCTCATTCTTCGTCTAACAAGTGAATGTAACTTAAGAGTCTTCAATCTTTCTTCATAAGGAAGATTTCTAATGCTATGTATTATTTTAGTCATCCTTCGCTGAATGTTTTCTAACGAATTTATGTCCATTCTGTAATATAGAGACGAGAACTGAGCTGCATAATCTAGGTGAGGCCTTACTAATGATGTATAAAGCTGCAGTATGACCTCTGGACTTCTGTTGCTTACACTTCTTGATATAAATCCCAGTAATCTATTAGCCTTATTATGTACGCTTAGGCATTGCTGTCTTGGTTTAAGGTTGCTGCTCACCATAACCCCCAAGTCCTTTTCGCAGTCTGTATGGCTAAGTTCTACATCATTTAACTTATAAGTACTAGGGTTATGGGCACTACCAAGCTTCAGAACCTTGCATTTATCTACATTGAACTGCATCTGCCACTTTTCTGACCAAGAATAGAGCTTGTTTAAATCCTCCTGAAGTTCCATAACATCTACGTTTGAATCAATTATCCTACCTATCTGTGTGTCATCTGCGAATTTGCTCATATCACTAGTAATTCCCTCATCAAGATCATTGATATATATTATAAACAACAACGGGCCCAAGACTGATCCCTGTGGAATGCCACTTGTTACAGATCCCCACTCGGATTTAACCCCATTTATGGACACACACTGCTTCCTGTCAGTGAGCCATGACTTGATCCACGAGAGCACTTTTCCCCCAATGCCATGAGCTGCCACTTTCTTTAACAGTCTATGGTGCAGAACTCTATCAAAAGCCTTACTAAAATCTAAGTAAATAATATCAAATTCTTTATCGTGGTCAACAGCCTCAAAAGCTTTACTGAAGAAAGTTAATAAATTAGTTAGACAAGACCGGCCTCTTGTGAATCCATGCTGTGTATCATTAATCAAGCTATGCTTATTGAGATGGCTTCTTATAATCTCAGCTATAATTGACTCTAGTAATTTGCCTACAATTGAGGTCAGGCTTATTGGGCGGTAATTTGATGGTAACGACTTGTCCCCTGTTTTAAAAATAGGAATTACATTAGCCATCTTCCACATATCAGACACTACACCTGTTTGAAGAGATAAATTAAAAATATTAGTTAGTGGTTCACAGAGTTCCATTTTGCATTCCTTAAGAACCCTTGAAAAAACCTCATCAGGACCCGGCCACTTATTTTGCTTCAGTCTGTCTATCTGCTTCACAACCATTTCACTAGTGACTGTGATATTACATAATTTATCTTCTTCTAGCCCACTATAAAAATTAATTACTGGAATATTGTTAGTGTCTTCCTGTGTAAAAACTGAGAGAAAATAATTATTTAAAATCGAGCACATTTCATTCTCTGTCAGTAAGGTGCCCATAGTTATTTTTAAGGGGACCTATCTTACCTCTAACTTTTGTTCTATAGACCTGGAAAAAACTTTTTGGGTTAGTTTTAGAATCCCTAGCAACTTTAATTTATAGTCCCTTTTAGCTTTTCTTATCCCCTTTTTAATGTCCCTCTTAATGTCAATACATATACTGATTCATAAGATGACCCTCACCTCTTTTGATACGCCTATAAATTCCTTTCTTATGCCCTAGTAGATATTTGAGCCTATTATTCATCCATTTTGGGTCATTTCTATTTGATCTAATTTCTTTATATGGGATAAACGTTCTTTGAGCAGCATGTATAGTGTTCAGAAAACTGTCATATTGATAGCTCTCTTCGTTACCCCAGTCAACAGATGATAAGTGTTCTCTAAGCCCATCGTAATCTGCTAAGCGAAAATCTGGGACTGTTACTGAGTTATTGCTACTATCGTACTTCCATTCAATGCTAAATGTAATTGATTTTGTGGTCGCTAGCACCCAGTTCCTCTGAAATTTCTAAATTATTAACAAGGGATTCATTGTTTGCCATAACTAAGTCAAGCAGGTTATTTCCCCTTGTAGGTTCTGTCACAAACTGCTTCAAAAAACAATCCTGAACTACTTCTAAGAAGTCGTATGATTCTAAATTCCCAGTCAAGAAATTCCAATCAATATGACTAAAGTTAAAGTCTCCTAGAATTACTATATTATCGTGCCTTGTGGCCTTAACAATTTCCTCCCATAGTAGTCTCCCTTGGTCCCTATCTAAGTTTGGGGGACGGTATATCACTCCTAAAATCAGTTTTTCATGCCCCCCTGAAAATTCTATCCAAACAGACTCTGTATGTGTTACTTCAGACTTAATACCCGTTTTTATGCAACAGTTCAAGCGATCTCGGACATACAATACCACCCCACCCCCTTCCGATACTTTTCTTTTTTTGGAACTTTTAAAAACCCCTGAATTTGGGTTTCCCGCGGCATGTCCGACTTTTTAAATTAAAACCAGTTCGTTAAGGCAAAATACATCAATGTTCCTGCACTAGCAACTAATCTCAACTCGTCCATCTTATTCCTAGCCTTTCGGCAAATTGGATAAAAAAATGAAGACTCTCCTTTTGTTTCCCCTTCCTGCTCATTTCTGTTGTTCTACAAAAACCTATTACTGTCCTTATCCCCAAAGTCCCTGGCTTTTCAATATCTACCTCGTTTGTTATTATATTTCCCCCTAGAACCGAAATATTCTCACTGGGTTCCTGTTTTCCTCCCAAAACCCATACCACTAACATTCCCCGTTTAAAGTCCTAATGCTCCCCCCACGCGTTGCCCGTGCTACCCCCCGACCAGTAAGTGAACCCCATCCCCGGCATCATGTCTTTCGCATAGAAGAGGCCCGTTGTCAATGAATGTTACCGCATTTTCCTTACAGCTTTTTTCCCGCCCGCAATTTCACCAATTGCCTGGACAACCCTTCATTTTCAATCCTCTCCTTGGCAAAATCCACATTGAAGGGTTCCCACCCCTTTTCCCAAATTTTTTATTGCTGCCTATCCCGTAATCAGGTCTTCACTCCTCGTCTGCCAACTCGTTACCCCCAGCATGAGCAGATAAAAGGATGTCCCCTTACCCCTTGATGTCATCCGCGGCTAACAGTATCCCCCATCCGCCCCAGGAAAAACAAACCTCTGTTCCTACTCCTGTCCCTTTAAAAGAACGCCCTATCCTTACCTAATTGGCTATCCCAACAACAACAATATTCTTTTTCCCTTCCTTTTAAAGTCTTTCGTCGTGACGTTCCCAGTAGCGACTCACTTGTGGGTAGCATGAGAATGTATTAGATGTTTCCCCAACAGTTTTCCCCGGAGTTTTCTTCTTCATCGTTTTACCTTCCATTCGTTTCTTGATCGTCAATTTGTTCCCTGCGTCCAGCCACGCAGTTTCCTTCTTGACCCCGAGGACTCAAAACAGGAGGACTACTTTGAATCTTTTGTTTTCCGGTCGTCGCTGAATCCCTCTTCGCCCTCCCCAATTCTTCCTTTAACCCCTTTTAGGGTTTTCGTCGACTAGTACGTTTAGTGTAGGGGTTTTTGACGTACTGTACTCATAAATTCTAGCGGCCTCAAAACTAGTGGGGGGGGAAAAACTGGTAGGCCTTTATATGAAAGAATGGGTCTATGTGGTCGTGTGACAGTTAAAAAAAATCCCGCAGCACACAGTGCATAAAGAGAAAAAAAAAAAAATTTGACCATTTTTTTTTAAAAAATCAGCGATTTGCAGTGTATTTTTTGTATGGTATTTATTGTTTTATTCTAGTTTTTCTTGGTTTTTTTTATAGAAGGAAAACATATTAAGAAAATTTGGTGATTTTGACTGGTTTTTTCAAAGAAGGTGCCCTTTAAAATTTAGTAAAGTAGGGGAAATGTTCGATTTTTTTCCAACTTCAAAAATAAACAAATGTGCCCCAAACGTGCAATACCCTTTAACTGGTG